ACGACGGAGTGAGAGAATAGCTGCTCGAAGATTAAGGACACTCGAAAATGTGTGAGATTCTCTATTTTTCATTGTTTCTTTTATCTCTTTTTTTTTTCAAAGCGAATTTAGCGTTTGCTTGAGAAAAAAAGAATAGAGAAGACGTCCAAGAAAAACCTGAATACCCATTTTTTATGTGTCCACCGAGGATACAGATAAATATTACAAGACTGAATGACGAACGCGATTTTCCGTATCTGTCATTGTGTTAACACATTTTGTGAGAAAACGATTTTCACTGTGATTGATTTCTTGCGTTGATGTTAATATTGACACAGATTGACATTGATTATTGATACAGATTAAAAATCGTTGTTTAATCTATTTCAATAATACAGCAATCCGTTTAACTTGTGCGACCAAGAGCTTCCCCCCTTTCTCTTCACATCATTTATAAATATTTTATATTGTGAAATATTTTAACTGAATTTCAATCACTCTTATCTTGTTTTTATCTTTGATAAGTCATATCTTATCTCGTCAAACGTAACTTCAGTTGATAAATGCAGTCGATTCTTATAAGAAATTTATGTGAAAATCTTTCTTCTTCCCGATTTTGATGTCCCGATTTTGAATTCTAACTTTAATTATAAGCTTTGATAATTCTTATTTAAAATTTATGTCGTTAAAATACTAAACGTACAAAAAAAATGCTTGAAATATTATAAACGTATGAATTTATTACAAATTACCAAGGTTTTGCAAACTACTTCATAATTTGTTTTAATTTTAAAAATATTTTATTATATTACTTAAGTCAACAAAGAAATAGAAGCGATAGGGAAGAGTTGATCGAAGATAAAAGCTATTGCCTCTAACAGACTAAGATAGAAAAGGCTTGTAGACGTCTTATGCTCCACAAGGATAAAAATAAAAGGATAATATATATATATATATATATATATATATATATATACACATATATATTATTTAAAATTAAATTTTAAGATATAAATATTTTTTAACATGTCATTTTTTTCTTTTCATTAGAATAAAAACAAAATTTTATGACCTAGTTAAAACTTAATTGATTTAAAAATCAAAAATTTAATTATATTTTTAATTATGGAAAACTTTTTTAATTGTTGGAAATAATATTCTACTATTTTAAACAATTTAAAAATGCTTTGATTATGCACTATAAAATGCTTCTTTTCTTATGTCTTTCACAAAACGACGTGTATTTAGAAATATCAATTGTATATTAGGAAAAATTTCATCCTTTAGGATATAAAAGTACTTGCAAAAAATTGTTTCTCTGAGCTTCAGATATAAGCATATTCAGTTCATCAAAATCAGAAGAAGGAAGAGAAATTCTTATATTTTCTGGTTAGATTAACATTTTTACCCATTGGACCATTTCGACATACTATTCGATAAAGAAAACTACTTTTGGACTGATCTTTTTCCAAAATATCTGTATTTGGGTCGCTCCATCGTCCGTTTTTGTACAGAGAATTTGCACAGTGAACATTTGTTGAAAATTACACATGTGTAATTAATGCTGAAGTCGACAGATGTTTCATGCTGTACAAAGAGAGATTCCTTTGCGATTGTAATTGTAATGTACAATACTATTATACAAAAAGTAAGTCCAGCGCGTTTATATTAAACGCGACAAGTCCCTTGTACAATCAAAACTTTAATTGAAATTAAATAATTTTGCGTTGCTTTTTAAACGCAGAATAATGTTTCTTACGGTCGCAAAGCATCCTCATTCTGTGATACACAGTAATATTTATCTTAAGGCTATAAACACACATGCGTAGAAGCATTTTTAGAAATTTTTTCACCGCGCTAGAATATATTTTGATCAGATGTCGAAATATATGCAAATATTGCAAAAAATTGACATAACATTTGAAATGTTATGAAACGAATCGATTTAACGAGCAATTAATGAAATATTAATTAATTGAAATATTGTTAAAACCACATAGCGTGGCGGGAAAATACCGCTTGTGTGCCGAGTCTTGTTAATTAATTGACTATTAGATAATTAACAAGAGGCAGGACAGTCGGGGCGATCCATGATTTCGAACCGATAAACCTTCACCGCAATTAATTGTAATTTTTTATCTCGAAAAATGTAACATATTGTTGGTTTAATAAAATGCCATATAATTCGGCGTTTTAATATTATTAATCTTAATTCTTTCTTTAACCTATCAAATTTCTCCTTTTACTTAAATAAAGAAGTTCTGGAGTTACAAGACATTTTTTTTAATTTCTCTTTTCGAAGAATCATCTCTTCCTCTTAAAAGAATTAATTTATTTTGTACAATACAATTAACAGTTATTGTATTACGTATACTGTATGATTTTTTCCTTACATAATTACTTCATTTTATTATCTTACTCTTAGATACTAACACGTAATTTAATGCATGTCATTATGTAACATGAAATTTAACACGTGTAAGAGGAAAAAATGAAAACATATGCAAGGCATTCGCGTTTTTTACAATGCAAGATCTTTGAACTGACGTGACCTTTCATCGATACGCCGAAGCCACTAGTAAACTAGACGATAATTGATTTAACTTGCGGGAAAAGTAAGAATTTGGAAGCCGTACAGATTCTGATCGATCAATCGTGATGTAACCTCGGAGCTTGCACGAATGTCGCGATTGCGGATGTACTAAAAATATGTAAAACTTGCTTGTCCAAATAAATCAAATAAATCCGTTATGGGCAAATCGTGGTTGTCTTTATCTACGTAAGTGTTGATATATTTCTTGTAGTGCGCGAGAATCTTGCTGGCCTTCCATCTTAAACACATTTTGTTAAATCCTTGGAGAAATATTGTACGATGTGCAATGGACTAGTTATCTCGGGACAAAAAAATCCACATAATTGTCTCCGTAATCGTCATGTATATTCTCTTGCAGGTTTTTACATAGAAATCTGTTAACAGATCGGTTTCATGATGACAAAGGCTTTTCCAGATTTAGCGATGAAGATATACCACGATGGCAATGTGTTTTCTGGAACGGTCCTTGAACGCGACGCGGGAGAATCTCGCGAGGGAGAATCTCAGATGAAAACTTTCCGTAAAACGAACGCGATCTTATTTGGATCTAAATGCACCGCTATAAATAATTAGACGGAGCTATAGAAGGAGCTATCTTAATTTCTAATGTGATACCACATTTATGACGATGATACGTGTGTATAAACGAGGTATATATTTTTCCGTATATTTTTCCCCCGTCCCATTATTCATCGCAATTACATAACGCAGACGAACTATGTTATCTTGCGGCAAATAAAAGATTGGACGGATCCGAAAAGGATCTTATCGAAAGGATATCGATTTTGTATCATCTTGCAAATTTTTTTCAGATGAATCTCCGTTCTTCCCCGGGAGGAAACCATTACTCTTGGAAATAGATAAAATGCGCGATAGTATTAATCATGCGATGTAAATGAATCGCAAAGAAAAAATTGGTAAGCATCTCAGGTGTTCCTTAATCTTACTTCACGTAATTTCGATATGACAAAACATGTTTTAATTGATGCCAGAATGCCTTTCTAAATCGCTTATTTGATTAAATTCGGTCAAGAAGCGGTCAAGGAGCTCCACTCCGAAACGGATATCCGTACACGAAAAGAATAATTTTGCTGACAAATTTAAAAATTTGGCCAGATACAGATCTAAAAATAATTTAGCTGGACCTTCAAAATTATTACGTACAACGTTTAAATTGATTGTTAGAAGATGAAAAATTTTTGCAATATTGTTGTGATACTTGAGCGTTCTGTATAATAATTTTGACAGTTCAATAAAATTATTTTCAGATTTATATATGGTCAAATTTTTAGGTTTCCCAGCAAAACTTTTCCTCTTCGCATCATCGGTGCTATCGCTCCACAGCGAATTCGATCCGATTGAGGTGATAATAGCGAGCAGGTGTTAATTAAGCTTCCCTTCTCTCTTGAACTATTATCCTCATGTCTCCCGGTTCTACCTACGAGATCGTCTCAAGGTAATGGACCGTGGCGATACGCAAATCCTTATTCTTTATATTTCTTTTCTTTTGTTTCCTCGTTTAAGTTGCGGTAAGCGAGCGCCGCCCGCGCAGCATTTACCACGGCGTAAAGCGATAATGCAACTCTATAAAAGCCAGATAAGAGACACTCGCGAGTCTTCCCAGTCGCGAAGACCGTCAGTCGCGCCGATCGTTACTGGCACGTGCCAATATTTAAGATAACAAATATCGCTTTGCGCGAGTGCCCCTACACTTGATATCGCGATTGTGTTCCACTTGCGACGTTCTTCTTTTTCCGCGCATCGCGAAAAAGTCAGGTAGCGTATCGACGAATTTAGCCTCCTTTTCTCTCTCTCTCTCTCTCTCTCTCTCTCTGCTTTTTTTATTTATTAATTTTTTTTAATTCAAAGATTGCAGAAATTGTCACATACTCTCATATAGATCGATGAGATATATCTGTATGAAAATTATGTAAGCTAAAATGATATTTATGTATTACACCGATTTTTACAATATTATGTATATTTTGGTGTATATTATGTGTTAAGAATCCATGCATTATCTCATAAAACAAAAAATTTTTAAATGAGTTAAAAGAGAAATAAGAAATTCGGCATCAGTGTACAAGAATCACTTGCAACGATTAACACGAACGTTGTACGATTAATTTGACTTGATAAATCAGTCGAATGTTAATTGAAGGCGAGTTTGATATTCTGTGGTATTCAGGGTAATTCCCGAGAAAAAGTAAACAACGCAATAATAAGAAACATAAATTATGAACGCCGGATCTTGTGTATGTGATTGTTATATTATAAAATAATGCAAATAATTATATAATTAATAATAAACAAGTGGAAATCAAACGACCCGATCGGGTCGAAACTTCGTTCACTATGTTTTGTCATGCGATTGTATTTTAGTTTTATAAAATTGAATTTTATTTAATTTTTTCTCAACTGTGTTTTATCATCATTATACGTTAAACTAGAATTTTATCTTTATGAATCATGCAGCATTGAAGATGACCCGATCGAAGTCGAAACGTTTGCTTTTCCATTTGTTTATTATTGATTGAATAATTATTTGTATCGTTTTATAATACAACAATCGCGAGATCCGGCATAATTCATAGTTTAGACTCCTTGTTATTGCATTGTTTTTATAAATGTTAACTATAAATTTTCATTTATTTATTATTGGAAAAAGTAAACATTCGTTCGATTTTCCACGACAGAAACATGGCAACTGCCGAAACGTGCAAAATCAAATCGACGATCAAGAATATTGGCCGCAGAAATGTCATTCCCATAATCCACGTTCGAGGAACGCACTACGACATCGGCTTCGACATCGTAAGAATTATAGACGATATTTATTCGACGATTATTTCCGTACAGATTTTGTGAATGCACAATGCAATTTTTTAAATTATCGAGCGTTGCACTTCTCTGAGATTTTTCTCAACTTGAAAATAAATAATTTTTTTCTTTATCGTTTCCAAAGTTTCCCATTTTGATATTAGGACCAATGAAAAAATATTTGGTAATACATTTTATCATTTTATCATTCATTCAAAAAGGGAGCCAATTGATTTCTGTCATATATTTTTTATCACATATTATTTTTCTTGGTATCAATATTAATTAATTAGTTTTAATCGATTAATTTCTATACATACACATATATTTATAATATTTTAAGATAGAAAATGAAAATCAATAGGAACTTCTGTTTATATGCTGGAAAATTGAAATCCGTAAAAATATTTCTATACGGAAAGGACTTTTGCTATACATTTATACTTTAAAATTTTAAAATTTGATCACATACAAATCTGAAAATAATTTTGTTAAACCACCAAAATATTTATGTAGAATGTTCAAATTAATTATTAGAATATAAGAAATTTTTACAATATTATCATTATGCTGAAATATAATAATTTTGATTCAACAGAATTATTTTCAACTCTATATCTTGTCAAAATCTTTTAGATACTTCAACAAAGTCATTTTTTCCATATAAAAATATACTTCATTAATAGAATCTTCTTTATAAATATATTTATTCTAAAATTAATCGCAAATTTTTTAATAATCACGGACAAATAATTATTTAGTAGTAATGCATATTTATTTTTACTTTATATTTGTAGTCTCCTGAAGAGGAGAGAGGAAAGTATAAAATGTAAAACTATATTTTTATAAGATATGTCTACCCTCGTCCGTCTTGATTGCTATATAATTATTTCATTATTGACAATTTTTATGTCATAGTCTTGTGTACGTATAACATTCGTTTTACACTAATATTTAAAGTAACAGTCATAATTTAATACTTATCATATTCTCTAACGTGACATATGATAATCAACATTCTGGTTCTCTCGACCGGTATTTCGGAATTCGACGCTGTCACTTTTAGCGTCACAAGTCAAGCATGTTCCGTCGCGTTTTCTGGTTCTTTGAATGAAAGAAGACCATATTAGAAATGCAAATTGCCACTTGTCAGCAGCCAACGTGATTTATAGTGACACTTGCGCGGGACAATACGAGTAGCGTGCAAATCACGATAGCCAATGCAGCTCACGATGATATCTCGTGGTCCGATCCGGAGGAACGAACTCCGGTATATTACACATGATATAAGAAGGTGCATAGATAATCGAATCGACACAAGGGCGGGGGGAGGGGGGGGGCAGGTCGCGATAACATTTGAATAGAGGGAAAAGAGAGTAAAGAAAAGAGAACGGTCGAACGGGTGCCATGACGTCACCCGGATTAAATTCCTGCTGTTCTACATATAATTAGCACGCGAGACATTGAACGGCATAATCACGGTATATCCGTTCGATAAAAATTTTCTACACTTACGCAACCCGTTCGCTTCCTCTCCCATTTTTTTTCGCATTAGGGGCGCACCTTCGCCAAAATAATCCAAGATTTCGTGGACATCTATCAATCGCTGAACGAGATCTACCTGCCGCTTTACGGAACCGAGGAGGGAAAGAAGATTTATGATGAAACCCTTGAGGTAGTGAAGAAACAATTTCCGCAATATTTGCGGGAGATCGAGGGGACGGCGAACGGCGCGAATGTGCCATTTCATAAGGTAACGAGAAACAGCTCTGGAAAGGAAAAAAATTAGAAATTTTTTCGAAAATCAATTAATTATTACGGTATAAAAGGGAGATTTATAATTTTCATTTTTTTTTTATGAGGGATCTTAATCTTTTAATCTCGGTTTAATTTAGTCTCTATCTCTTTTGAGTTCTTTGAACTGAAGGATAAAAGGTAGGCTAAACCGTGATTAAAGTTAATCTGTATTGTTAATCTATATTGGTAGAAATGCACATAAATTGATTTCCTCGTAAATCTTGCAAATTTCCCTCGGTTCGCTTTAATTATTTTAGTAGTAAGTCGATAATAATGAAAATTGAGTAATTGTGAGGATTTCGGGATTAAATAAAATGTAATATCACCGTTGCAGTTGTTCCTGATGCATCTGGACGACATTCTTCCAAATGTTGTCGGAATGCAGGGAAACGCACTTCCAGTCGGTTGTTCAACCATCATGTGCAATCAACCTGGACATGTAAGAGTGACAATAAATTAGAATAGATTACACGCAGTCTCGCTGCGTATAATGTTGTAATAAACAGTTTTTTCAAAGCGAGATATTACGAACTTTAAATAAGACATCAATGAAGATATATGATGAAATTCCACGATGATTAATAAATACAGCAAGTAGTTATTATGTCAGCTAACAAATGAACAAGAAATAAATCAAATTTCAACTTTCTTTGAAACAGAGCCAACTAACGAGCTTTATTTTTATCTTTTATTGATACGTGTAAGTAATTACCTGTTGCAGTAATTATTTCCGCGTTATTTCGTCTATTTGATTTATAATCGTTCTAATAACGCGAAATATTAAATATGTATGAATGTACACACCTGTGCCAGATGCTGTCAATTTTATTTTCTGTGAAAAACAACAGTGATGACGCCGAGATAAATTATCAATTTAGCACTATTTCTTCCTCTATAAATCTCTTTACACACAATTACTGATTTATATCACCAAAGACGAAATCACACGCGTTATTTCACCATGGCGATACTAACTTAACGATATTTGCAAGTAAATATTTGTGCATTAAGTTCAAAATCCATACATGCAATATTGCATATTCATTATATGATTAATGTTATATTATTTTTTTATTTACACATCTTAAATATTCACTTATATATCAGTATTAAATATGTAAATTAGTTCAATGCCTTTAGATATATTATTTTCTATAAAAATCTTTCCTTGCATTGAAATCTGACAATTGATTAAAAAATGAACTAAAATATATAATGATATAATGAAGTAATGAAAATTATTTTAATATAATAACTAATAATAACTAAATTTTTATACTAAGTTTGATCCATAAATAAAGCTGGAATTCTGCAAAAAGGATATCGAATTAATTTCACACATTTAATATTTTATTACATCTTGCGAGATTTATTACTCTTATTATACCTATTTATTTAGTGTTATATTCTCTGCTCTTATTCTGACGAGTGTTTAAAAACGCAGGAGATTCTGGGTCACAACGAGGATGCCCTTAAGGAAACCTTGAATCACTGGTACCTGGTGAATGCTCACGTAATCGAGGCAGGCTACAGAGAGGAAAAGTTCACATCGCTCTGCTACGCTGGTTTCTTACCGGGCTACACGATGAGCTATAATCATCACGGCCTCGTTTTCAGTATCAATACCATCTCTGCCGCGGTCTTGCGATCCGCCAAGACTCGTGAGTTTTGGTCCCCGAGTACCAAGAATCTTCATAATTTAATCGTTAATTACATAAAGTCATCGGGGACAAATTAATTTTGCATTGAAAACATTTTTATGTAAAACATTTCTAAATATAAAAATTCGATAAACAGTTTTATCCCCCAATCGAGATCTCGTTGCTCACAGCGCGGTACTTCATAACGCGGGCGCTGTTGGGCGTGGAGAACTTCGTGCAGGCGCAGCAGATCCTGAGGAACGAGGGCTACGGCGCGGCGGAGGGCTTCTCGGTGAACATGACATTCCTCACGCAGGAGGGCGATCGGATGTTTCACAACGCCGAGGTGGGCCCAGCCGAGGTCGGCGCCGATCGATCGCGACTCAGCATCCTGACCGTCAGCCCTGGTGAGAACACGTCGCATTGCAACAGGTACATAATGATACCCACATTGCCATGCATTTGCATATGCGTAGACAGAATATACTTCAAACTTTGCAAAACGACGATGTTTGCTTACCTATCACGCTCCCCGAAGTCGAGTTTCCTTCGCTTACTCCCGCCTCTTCTTTATCATTCAACTGTGATAGGGCGAAATACTGAAATAACCGGATAATATACGGCAATTCTATTATCGCAAAACTCATTGTGTTTGTCCTCATATAACGCACTCCTACGGTTTCAGGTACCTACGCCTTAAGGTGGCGGAAATTAAGAAAGCCATGCTGGAAAGCAGCATCAGCAGAGAGAAGACGATTTCGAAATATCCGCCAATAAAAAATCGTCAGGACGTAATCAGTGTACTTAGCGATCAGACGGACAAGGATTACAGGATTTATCGAGAGTACGACAGTGCTGGGGCTGATGATAGAGTCAAGACGATTGCCACTGGTACTGAGTTACAGAATCGAATATTTAAACGTTTTCCTTTTTTATTTGCTTTTCTCCTGTCAAATATAAATTAACAATAACATTACATCAATGTTACAATTTTTTTAATCAATATAATATAATAGATGGATGTACATTCGGGGAAAAGTTACCGAAGGCATATCATTTAAATTATTTTTTATACTTCTCATTTTTTTTATTTATAGACTAATGAGATTATCCTGAATATTCTCAGTACGTTTTAAGATACTTCTTGGAATATCCTGAACATATTTTGGATAATTTTTTTAGCACATGTAACTAAAATTGATCCCTTTTGCTAAATTAGTAATATACATATAATCATACATGTAATCATACATAGCAGGCTCATCAAGCATGAATTCAATGACTACACGTCATTCGAAACGGAAAACGCAATAAGTACAAAAAAATTTCATCATATTTATTTAAGATTATCCTATTGTTGTGTTCGAGAGATCGAAACTAATTAAAATTCTAATACAGTCTTACGTGCTTTTTCAATGAATCAGGCCTCGCTTAATGGAATTGCGAATACTATGAATGTCTCAAACGCAAATAAAAAGAGAAAAAATTGCGAAAGACTTCAGGAACTGATTGTGAATCTATAATGTATTTATTTCAGGCATCTTTGACTGTGTTGAGCGTACGTGGTCCATCTATACAGATATGCCACGATGCAACGATCCGCTGTTGGTGATACCTATGCAACTCCGAGACTCCACCATCCCGTAATATTGCAAAGTGTAGAAATAATATTTGTTTCATTCGCGAAAATAATTTACCGCATTGACATTACTATGATGATGTAATATCAATAATCTTGATATAAAAAAGTATGTAGCATTTACAATAGATATAATAAAAAAAAGCTAATGCAATTTGTTTAAGAAAATATAATCAAGATAGATTCGAAGATACGTTCGAAGTTAAAAAATGCGCCATTAAACATTTGCAAAGTGTCAGTGTTAGAAAAAGTCATTCTGTTAAATGTAAGTGAAATTTTATAAGTTAAATAAATTAATCATGCAATACTTTTATTAAAATAAATTGATTAAACTTAATTAGTAATCATCACGATTGTATTAATTAAGGGAAATAAAGGAAAACTCGGCGCTGTTCTATTTCGTAATTCCAGCTTTAATTTCTTGATATTTTTGTAGTATGAGTACATTGTTGTGATGATTCTTCCTCTTTAGTATTAGTAGCTTCGGGAACCATTCGCATCCAATTGGTTGAAAGAGTTCAATATAAAGTAAAATATTAAATTCCAGTAAAAAAGAGGCAATGTAAACAATTACAGAATTATTTTTTACTCCTTTAAACAAAGAGTGGCGCGGTAAACGCCATAATAACAATCATAGCTATTCACCCAATATGCTAAAAAAACGTAAGCAACCGGTCGATCTTGTTACCGTTCTTAATTAAATAAATGTACAAAATATACCCCTTTGCACTTTTACATGCAGATATACGCCGCATATTCCTTTTTTTCGTTTCCTTCATTATAATTACATTTTATTACTCTTGTTCGTATTTATAATTGCGTGTCTCTCATGGATGATTGCGCAAAACAAAATTCATAGTAAATCGATGTTGTAATTGTATACAACAGCTTTAGCGATATTAATCGAATTACAATATTTAAATAGGTATTTAAATATGGTGCGCGGACTTGAGGTTACAATTTGTCAAGGTATGCATTCAAGTCTGGGAGACCCTCCTTCAAACCCTTCCTCTTACGTGTATCCTGCAAGAAAATACAAATTTTCATTAAAATATCATAATATTGTAATATTGCAATAAGCACAATGTTTCGATCTAAGTTTCTTTATTGGAAAAAAATTGTTCGTTTCCCTATTCGAGTAAACCAGCACAATTAACTGGAATACCAAAACTAAAAAACGTTTTCTTTTCCACGAGAATAAAAACAGCGGAGTATTGATCGTCACCGCCATCAGTTATGCACGTGGTAAGACACAAGAATATCAAAATGCTCAATAATGAACAATCACATAAGCCAATAAAGAGAAATGTTAATATTAAAATAAAAAAAAGAATTAAAAATACAAACCTGTACAACTTGATAAGGTCGAGAGTTAAGCTCCATTGGATCACCCGGCAGGATCTGCCAGTGATCGAACACGCATTGTGGGAAAGCTTGGCCACCGGTGTTGGAGCGCAGATCGGCAGTGAAGCCGAAGGATTCGTTTACGGGAAGGTACGCTTTAACGACGAACATGGGAGTACCCGCCACTTGTTGTTCTTCGAATACGTGACCTCTTCTACGATTCAACACACCATAAATACCGCCAACCGCTACCTCTGGGCACTGTAAAAATATAATTTCGATATTTGCTCATTTCGTCGACTTCTTCTCATATATAAAATCGACAACGTATGTCGTCACCAAGTCAATTTTGATGAATTTACCTGAATTTCACATAAGTATACGGGTTCCATGATACGGGGTGAGGCAGTGAGAAGACAGGCATAAAGGCACCGTCTTGTGGTAGGGATAATTTGACCACCTCCTCTGTGGATTGCGTCGGCGTGTAATGTTACATCATGAATGTTGAAACGTACGCCTCTCAAGTTCTCCTCCGAAAGAACGCCCTGCGGCAAACATAAAAGTGAATTAACGACGAACATTCGACAACAAATTCATATTCGATTTAAGATAAGAGATTTCCTTTTTACCTCTTTTGTTGCCCATTGGAATCCAGCTACCACAGAATCCTTAATTTCATTAAGGTACTGTACACCCTTGGTGCAGTCGACTAATATGTTAGGACCGCTACCGTCAGGTCCGAAGCACCAGATTTTCCTCGCCTCCGTCACATCGTAATCGTATTTCTCGTTCAAGTAACGAGCACGCACTTTGAAATCATCTCGCGGATTAACTTCGCCCTGCAAAAGTCGACACATCAAAATTTATTTTTGGTTCAAACCTTGAAACTGATTAATATAAATTATCATGCTAACGTTCCATTTTTTGAATATTACGTTTAGCTTTATTTTAAGATATTAATGAAAAATTGATTTTCTTGAGAAAAAAAAACAAACTTACGCTGTCAATATCCTCAGCGAGACCATCTGGCATTGGACAAGCCATCATGAACAGACGATTGTGCTTGTTCGGAGATTTCGACAGACACATTTGATTCGACTGTTCGGAGATCGTTTCTCTGTATGACACAACAGGATCGGACTTCTTGATCGGAATGCACGCATGATCCTCTTCCAGATCCTTGAGACAAATCTCAAGATGCAATTCTCCAGCACCGGCGATGATATGTTCGCCGGATTCCTCAATGATACATTGTACCATAGGATCGGACTTTGCCAAACGTTTGAGACCTGTCGAATTGAGCTTATTTGAATCATAAACGCTGCGATATATTCAACGATATTTAACGAAATTTAATATATCCTCAGATGGAAAAATTTTAATCATAGTTTTCATAACCCAATGCTCGATAAATCTCTCATCATGTTAAATCATACAGACTTCCAGCAAAATGTGATTACATCTAGACTTAATATAAATTACGAAGCTTACAAACCTTCAACCAATTTTGGCAAATCAGCGGGATTCTTCGGCTCGACTGCAACACGTACAACAGGCGACACAGAGAACTTCATAACTTTCATGTTGTGCGCGTCCTTAAACGTTGTAATGGTACCAGTTTTAACCAAAAATTGATCGACGCCGACAAGACCGCAAATATTACCTGTACAGACAAACTATGAGTTATCACATGTGGATATATAATTAAGTAATTGTAATTTCATTTCGTTAAATCAGCTGGCCGTTCTATGTATCTATCATGAACAAGTCAGAACAGGTCTGTAAAGAACAAACATCATACATATATACAATTAAAAATAAAATAAGCCCAAATTTAATACTAACCAGAAGGCACATCTTCGATAGCTTCAACGTAACGACCCATCATCAGAATAGTACGCTGAATAGCTTTCTCATACAGATCCTCCTTCTTGCCTGGTTGAAAGTTGGGTCCCATGATGCGGGCCTTCATGCCAGTACACACCTTACCCGAAAATACTCGGCCGAAAGCATAGAAACGTCCTTTGTCCGATGTCGGTACCATTTTTGAGACATACATCATCAATGGCCCATTTGGATCGCAATTCTAATTAAAAAACAATTTAATTAATAAAAAAAAAATTAAATCTCTTTACTTACAATAATTATTAATAACTCTTCTATCAACTCAGTATTTCTAATTTTCTTCATTACGTTCAGCACAGGTCTGTGAAATATTTATCATCATGTATCTGTTAATATTAGATATTTAAAAAATTATATATATATATATATATTATATATATTAGATATTCAAAAAATTAGCATATATCACGAACCTTAATTCCAATAGCAGCTTCATCATCAAGCGGTCCTTCGTACAACATCTCCATACGGTATTTTTGAGCAGTTACAGGAGAGGGCAGATGAATGGCAATCATTTGAAGAAGAGCTTCTCCAGCAGGCAACCATGTTCTCATAACAACCTAAAAAAATCATACAACACGATGAAAAATACATTCCAAGGAAAATGAATCAGTGTATAATTGTTTCAAATGTTTCTCAGAATTTAGCGTTCCCTCATTATAATAAATCGGAAGAGGTGTCAGAAAAAAAAGCTATAAAATTATCATCATTATTTCTATAGAACATATATATATCTGCATGATAGAAAAAATACCTTTAATAGAGCCTTTCCATCCTTATCTTTATCTTCGGGCTTCAGCACGATACCCAGCTTCTGCAGAAGATTGTCTGCTTCCTCCTTCTTATAGTTCATAATACTATCGAATACCTGCAAATAATATTTTTGTCTTAGTTAACAATATCTTTCATAGTGATAATCGTAGATGATCTTATGTAACGTTGTGTAATGATTGCTCACCTTATAAATTGGATCTAAGACGTACATGCAGAAGGATCGTTTATTATCTGCCTCTTTCTGTTTACTCCATTTTTTGGTTTTGGGATTGAAGAAGGATTCACCCCATAATCTATTCATAAGTTTTACCACGTCAATCTTGAATTTCTCGGCGTACATTTCGGAGAATTGTTTTAGGGTGAAAGCCCAGCCGTGAAGACCGGAACCAAAACCTACAGAACCTTTGCTGGGGTCTACCTATATATAACAAATATATGTTTAGGAATTTATTTTATATATATATATATATATATATATATAATAAATATTGTTATTTACTACTTACTACT